GGCCACATATGCTGTTATTTTCTCGGCTATTTATATATATACGGGTTAGTGGTGCATTGTGGGTATTCTATTATAGCAGTTATTTTTACCGGAAGTCGCTTTGTTTGTTTATTTGGGTAAAATTATAACCGCCATAATACAATACTCTAAGTGTTGACTTTATGTTCATTTATATATATATATATATATATATATATATATATATATATATATATATATGTGTGTGTGTGTGTGTGTGTGTTAGTGTTAAATGGTGACAATATAGAAAAATCCTGCGTGATACTCACTCCCACAAGCCGGTGAGTAACTAACAACAGCCGAAGATAATTAAAATGGAATCTTAAATATGAAAAATTCATGTCCCATGTTATTAATTATTCCTCGACACAACACTTCATTAAAGGCTACTTTTCTTAATCAATTGTATATTCCTATGACCGATAGTTTTTGCATTTATTTATGAATAAACAATTACTTGACGATAAGTTTCATTTCCTTTCGCGTCAAAAACTTGACACCTCTTTTTAACAAGACTAGATAATGAAAGCTGACTCGTACACGCTATAATATTACTTTAAATATTTCTCTAAATATTTGACGATGCCTTTTTTTTCCGGTCGCTACAATCTTAACCTCTTCACGTCTCCCGCCAACCGCCATCTATCTTACATACACTCAAAATATACACATTTCACACGCTTCTTGATTGATCGATTATTCTGTTCGAAAGCCATAACATCTCTGTTGGTCATTTAAGGCCGAAAAGCCCTTTTTTTGAAAATTAACTCTCAACTTTGTATCTGTGATGATGTCACAATCATTTAATACTGTTTGATCGGGAGACAGATTGGTCCGCTCGAGTGCAATTGACGGCTAATGTCAAAAAACGCCTCTCAGTCTATACTTAAATGGGGTTAGCTTATTAATTTTAACGCTTCTAAAACAAAACTGTTCTCTGTTAATCATTTCAGAGACCCTTTTCTTCTTTGCATCAGTATGGCTGATGCTAACCCCCATAAATTATCTCGTTGCTTTTTCTCGGGCTAACGTTCTCGTCTGAGATGAAGTGGAAAAGCTATTTTGAAACCATTGCTAGGTCAGCTGCTAAAAATGTTACCTGTGTCCTGCTTGTCAATTTTTATTTTATGAATCTATCTTACATATCGATAAGACTACCATTCGTCCATACTTAGAATATTGCTGCTGTATATGGTATTATGCTCCCACCGTATATCTAGAGAACGTAGATAAAATCAAAAGAATAAGCAATATTATTGGTACTGATCTGGTTTCTCGGCTCCAGTCACTTTCCCACCGCCGGTAATGTTGTTTTCCTGCGCCTTTTTCATTAAATAATATTTTAATTTCTCGGATGAGTTCTTCCCCAATGTACCTAGAATTTATGGATTTACGCTCAGTTCTAGACTGGCGATAAGTTCTCCTAATATACAGTTAAAATGGCTCGATGTAAGCGTAATTTCTATGCTAATAGTTTCTTTACTCGCACTTCTAGCTTCTGGAACTCTCTTCCGGTTCCATACTTTCCAGCCAAATTTAATCATCAAAAATTAAATGTTAATCGTTTTCTATTGCCCCCACCACGATTATACTCGTTTTTTACTTGCTCCTTAGTAAATTTTCTGTTTTCTAATTTTTCCACACCCAGGAAAACACCTTATGTCCCAGTGGCTTAACTGCCTTACACGGGGTGAAATTGGTTAAAAATATATACCTTGTAAACAGTTCTTTGTGTTGTTTGTTGTATCACTATCCAGTTATGCCCTTAGAACTTAGTTATTTAGTGCTGTAATTTATGGTATAAACCAATCTCCTTCAAGTAATCTCTACATTTATCTCCTTGAAAAGGACTTCTAGACCAGGGATCGGCAACCTTTTGCTATGTGCAGACTTTTAAAATCATTCAATGTGCCAACTGCATACGTATTTTAATACAAGTCAAGGTCAATATACATGTTCTATATATTTTATATAATAATACATACACTATGATTGTTTTGTTTTACGGCATATCAAACTCAATGTGTCATTTAATGCCGACAACATTTTTTTCCTGGTAATATTTTTGTTTAGTGAAAAATCCATATCTGTTAATATTTTTCTCAAAAGTGTATAGCTGGTAATCTTTATTTTTTTTTTTCAAAAAGGTATAGTTGGTAATATTATTTATATATATATATTTTTTTTTTCAAGAAACATACTGCTGGCAACATTATATTTTCAAAAACGTATTATCTGTGGCACCTTGCATTATTAGAAATATTCATAGAAATATGATTTAATTTTTTTTTTACTCGGTTTATTAAACAGGTTGTTGATTTTTTTTTAAACGGAAAATAATTGAGTTGAAAATAATTCACTAAGTTGTACTTAGACGATCCTAAGGAAAGAAGAAGGAAGGGGAAGAAAAGAGGAAGAAAGGGAAAAAAAGGAAGAGAGATGGATGATGCATGACCCGGTCATAAGCGAATAGGTGTCAGAAAGATATCTTGGCCTGCGTGTTGGCCGAATTTTAAAAGACAATAGAAATTGTTATTTGAAATGAAAAATCATTTAGAGGGAGAAAAAGAACCAGGCTTGATGACAGTGTATTGGCGACTGATAAGAATATCGGTCAAAGCACCTAGCCTACTTTTGCGTGGAAAGACTCATTGTCAAATTGGAGAAAGGGGAATTTCTTTTTAGAACAATAGAAACGAAATTTTTTTAATCGGAGAAAAAGTGTCTTTTGGGTTGAGGGGAGTGACCGGTGGAACGGTATACAGATTCTGACCTATTAAGAATTGAAACCCACGATAATAAAGTGGGGACATTTTCAATGTAGATAATTAAGATTTTCTGACTGTCGGGTCTGACAAAAACAAAAGGTGAAAAACGATTGTCTCAGCTCACAGATGGCGCCAATATCCTTTCCTGAAGTCACATCTAATTAGCGACAGGCTGTTTTGACAGAGCCCAGGTGAGAAAAAGCCAAGATTGTCATTTTTCGTACGTGCAAAAAGGGCAAAATTAGATTTTGTTTTTTAAAAAAAAGAACGATGTAAGCCACGCCCGATTTGAGATGGGAGGCGCCCAACCACAATCTCATTGGCCGAGGGCGGTCACGTGATATGCGGAAAGAAGAGGAAGAATGCTCGATCAGGAACCATTGGTCAAAAACGGTCACCTGACATACGAGAAACCGGGAGATGGGTGTACGCCTCCCCACCAAAGGCACTGTGAGGAAGTAGGGGTGAAAACAATAGCGATAATGGGGAAACAGAATTAATGCGGCTATTGGAATTATCGAGAAAACCCCTGACGCCAACAGACCCACCCCGGTTTGCTGCGGCGTCAATAAAAGCAGGACCCCAGTCGACAGAAATCAGTTGAGTTGAGAGTAGCGGCTGAGTTGCGTCAAGAAATCCTTTCCACCCAAGTCGAAGACAAAGAGAATCTTTCCACCCAAGTCGAAGACAAGAGAACTTCCAGCCCAAGTAGACGAAGAAGAAGATTACTCGAAAGCCGCAGAAAGATCCAGCCCAAGTCGAAGACAAGAGAAGTTCTATCTAAGTCGACGAAGAAGAAGAATCAACTGCGAATGATCGATAGAAATTAGCCCCAGTGTCGAACTAAACCACACTCCGACATACACAATTCTAAAGAGTAGGCAATTCGAAATCTTTGGGTTGTGTGATAGAAGCTTAATTGCCATAGTCCACAGAGCGGGTCGGGAATTGAGAACAATTTTGTTTTTATGTAACGGACATTAGATATAAAGGTTGTTACCCTTTTTTTATCAGCAATCCTTTTGTCTCGTGAGTTTTTTTTTCTTTTACTTGTGTTTTGCCACCCCCTGTCGGACTCAACTTGTATCGGCCCCAATCCTGCTGGTCCCGTCTGTCTAAGATCTAAACACAGCGTGGGTAGACAGACCGGAGATCAGTACAGTTGCTTCAGTAACCAGGTATTGGAAGCGAGTTGGGAAAGGCGAGGCTGGTGATCATCTAACCAAGGGGTTGGAGCGGCACGCTTAGAACCAGGAGGAGCGACCCGGAGGAACGACGTCACAGTTGGCGCCGTAACCAAGGGATTCGACCCTGGGCCAGGTGTGTAACCGTCACAATCAGAGCCCTTGCTACTGGAGGTAATTTATCGTCTTACCCAGGACACTGATGTAATTTATCGTCATACCCAGGATGCGAATGTAATATGAGTGTTAACTATTAGCCCATGGCTAGGACCCTAACAGGTGCTACCACACCATGTCATGGAACACCAGCAATTAAGAGGTGGTTCCACGCTCCTCAAAACCTCCTGATCAGAGGCCTTGTGCTTGGACGTAGTTTATCGTCTTACCGAGGACGCGGATGTAGTTTATCATCATACCCATGTATTCCGTATCCTTGCGATTGATATTTAATCCTTGATTATTTTCTGAAGGCGTAATTGTAGTTTCATTTCTGTGTCATCTGCATATCATGTATTGTTAAGATTGTGGTCACTAATAATGAAGCCTGTTAAAACTGAATACGTTATTTAAGTCCCGTGAGAAAACACCTCAATGCATTGCCCAGTCTTCTATTTTTGTATATTTACTGAATGCAGGCGGTTTTCTGTCAGTTATAACTTCTGGATAATTCTAATATCATCCACAAATATGGCAGGAATACCGAGAAGTACAGATGATTCATTATAACGTATTTATCAAAAGCCTCTGCATAATCTGTACCATTCTGAACATAAATATTGCGTTCCTTTTTCTGGTGTCATTAACGAAATTGTACAGTTCTTGTCCTATTTCCAGTTCTATTTTTCTTCGCGTTATATTCGTCAGAATTCGGTTGATAGGATTCTTTCTGTATACAGAGTCTGAATATATGAAGCAAAGTCGAGGGTTATTTTTAGAAATTTCAGGGGGAAATTGTGTTGGCAAACCAAAAACTGTATCTGCCTCCAGTAATTCCGCTAAAATTAATGGGAAATACTGAGTCAATTTAAAGATCAGAGAACATCTATCTATCTATCTATCTATCTATCTATCTATCTATCACGACCAACGAGACGAAAGCTTGTATTTGATCAAATCATGCTGTGCTACCTGGCAGAATATGTCTGATGTTGAAAAATTATTTCATGAAGCCAGAAATACCTCACTGACGACTGATCTCTGAACATTCAATGAATGTATGTTGCGAATCTCTTTCTTTCTCTCTCACCCATTCTCTCTCTCTCTCTCTCTCTCTCTCTCTCTCTCTTGTATGTATATATATTACAATCTCTCTTATATCTTTATACATACACACACACACACACACACATATATATATATATATATATATATATAAAATAAAAAGAAAGAACAGTAAGATATATAATCCGGTGTACTCATAGATATTTTTATTTTTACAAAATATTGCTCAATGTAAATTTAAAGAGCATTAATATTATAAATTAATTGATTTAAAATATGTTTTTTCGCTACACAGTTCTAACCATGTTTCAAAAATGGAAGCTAAAAGCTTCGAATTTAATTTTGTAATTAAATTAAAGACATCAGTTCCATTTCATCCTCAAGCAAGTTTTGGAGTAACTTATTTTTAAAATTACTGGGTTTTAGAGGCACAACAAAAAATCATAATTCACGTTTCCAAGGATACAGAGAAATCCATTCATCCAGACAAGGGGTGTTTGAGTGTTTATTATCGCTGTTGTATCAGTTATTAGTTACGTTTTGGTACGGGGTAGGGATGTATTTTTCAATGAAATCTTACATCCGGTAAATGCATGTCGTCTGGATTTTTTTTAAAATTATTGTTAATGGCAAAAATTCTTAGGCATTTATTTCTATTTGTATACTTAAAGATTTTTGTGGGGTGTTTAGGTTAAAATACGTTTTATTTAACTACGATTTTAAAAATATTTTCACTTTCAATTTTTAATATACTATATTTCTTTTTAAGACAAATGTATTAGAACCACTTACAGTATGTAAAATTATTTTCACATAAAGTATACGTATATATAAAGTATACGTATATATATTACTAGGTCACAATTTTTTTAAAACTTATATTTAAATATTATTTAAGTAAAATTTATGACAATCACGGCAAAAATAGCAAATTAATTACTCTGATTTAGTAAACTTTTATTTTTTATAAACCTAGAAATATATAGTTTATCATGTAAGTACAAAGGACATGGGTCATTCAATGGCTTACACCATCTAGCTGTAAGTAGGTGTTTTATTGGATTCTTTTAAGTGCGTGTAATACTTTGAGAGAGGTGTTTAGGTTAGAATACGTTTTATTTAACTACAATTTTAAAATATATTTAGGTTAGAATTCTTTTTATTTAATTACAAATTTAAATACAACTTTAAAATATTCTCCCTTTTAATTTTAATAGACTATATTTCTTTTTAAAATAAGTAAATGCATTAGAATTACGTAAAGTAAGTAATTTTTTTCCATATCAAATATAGGTGTGGATAGTACCAGGTCACAATTTTTAAAAAAATTATATTTAAATATTATTTAAGTAAAATTTATGAATTTATACAATTTTAAAAGATGTTTAGGTTAGAATTCGTTTTAACTACAATTTTAAATACAACTTTAAAATATTTTCACTGTTATTTTAATATATATATATATATATATATATATATATATATATATATATATATATATTATAAAACAAGTAAATTACTTACAGTATATAAAGTTAAGTATGTATATTACCTGGTCGCACTTTTTAAATTTATTTTTATTTTTAAATATTATTTAAGGAAAACTTTTGACAATGACGGCATAAAATACCTATTTCATTTCTCTGATTCAGTAGATTTTTATTTTTTATAAACTTAGTAAGATATAGTTTCTCATGTATGCACAAAGGACATGGGTCATTTAATGACCTACATATTCTAGCTTTTCTTATTAACTTCCATTTTACTGTAGGTGTTTTATTTGATTCTTTTAGGTGTCCGAAGTACTTCGAGAGAGATGTTTGATTTTTATATTCATTTATCCTAAATAAACTTTGATGTTAGTTGAATCTTTTTTTGAACTCATGGCTAGTGCAACCCATATATATATATATATATATATATATATATATGTTTTCAGGATTTTCCATCGAAGAGATATTGCATTGGTATACTAATGATTCTGTCCGACGTTTATTTTGTAGAGGGCAATTATGAGGGTTTCTACAGTTACATAATTTTTGTTTATCTTCATCAGATATTGTTGATCTTCAAATGTTTGACTATTAATGCGAGGAATTAGAAAAAATGCCGTAAGATTTTTTGACGTTAACAATAATTTTTTTAAAAAATCCAGACGACATGCTGAGGGGTTCTCCCCTTTTTACACAAATATGCATATACTACGGTTACGTGAAGATCCGAGAGAGCAAGGTCGAAGAGTCGAGTCGAGTCCAGAGTGACAGAGTAAAAGGTTGTAGGTAACCGAAAGAGTGAGGGTGAGGTAACAGCATTGTAGGAGTCACAGTGAGCGAGCACGTAGACTCGGCGATACTTCAATACCAAAGACTGTATATATATATTTGCTACTAACCCGTATTCCTGGAACTACTAACCTC